TTTCCAGCTTTTTTGGAGTCTTAAGATGCCAAGAATTACCTGGCCCATTATTGACCTTGGAAAGTGATCTTGAACTAGGGATAGTGTGTTTTTCTGAGGTATTTATAGCTGGGACCTTAGCTTCCAGGAAACCCCAGTCCTGAAGTGCAGTTGTGGGGACATGGCCCCTGGCTCCTCTTATGTACTAAAGAATCCTTTTCCTGATGGCATGTTGGACAAGCACTGAGGTAATATATGCCTGGACCCCCTTATTCTGACTCGAGTTTGGATAGCTTTGAAAATACAGCCCATTTTGAGTACCAGAGCCCCTAGAAGTATTCTACCCTCAGGCAGCAAGACACCTTCCATTTTGGTGCATTATTCGCTTGGGACCTCATTAACTCAGCTCATTGGTCTTTTTCCCAGAGGTCTTACTAGCATATTACAGATTATCTTCCCTGATAAATTGGGTTTGGTTACATCCCCTTTAGCCTTGGAGGTGGTTTTCTACTATTGAAGTAAAGAGCAAGAAAGACAATTTTTAATCATCTTAAAAGATGTCATAAGTGATTGATTGCTAATCAGGCCAATTTGATTGACCCTTCCAAGGGAATGAATTGAAGGCATTCCAGTAATTGCCCGTGTACTCCTGTTGTAAGTTAGGTATGTACAAAACACTGACCATTGGTGGACAATAGCTATATGTGATGCTGCTGGCTGACATTTCTGCAATGATTCATTCCATGGGCTTTTGTTTTTCTCTTTTACAAGATCTTCTAAAACTCCTTGAATATGATGCTCCCCTGCTGGGCTGAATTGCAGAACTCTTAAGAGCAGCTGTTTTCCCCTCACAGGCAGCATAAGCAGTGGAGAGGGACCTGGACTTGGAGCCTGGAAGACTTAGATTCAAATCCCACCTTAGATTCTTACTAGATTGTGACCCTGAGCAAGTCACTGTATTTCTCATTTTGTACCTACCTAAAATGAGGGGGATTAGACTCAATTTCTAGCCGGTTGTTTGATCTATGATTCTCTGACTTCTAAAGGGAGTGTGGGAAAGAACTTGAATTAAGAAGTCTCTGTGTCGTAGAGAGAAGTACAGACAGACTCTGACAGAATATTAGAAGTACTTAGGACCTGGCAGTATCCTTATCTCTTTCTGTGCCCAAAATAAGAATTGGAGAAATCGAGAATTGGAATTCTTGATCTGTGACCTCCTTTATTTTTTTTCCCATGCTGTCTGCTGCAAAAAATAGACCAAATAGCTTTAAGTCATCTGTCAAGACAGAGGCCCATATAAATGCAGTGGTCTGGGAAAATGTGCCTGTTTGCCACTGAGCAAAAACTGTCAGTCCCATGTTGGGAGTGAGTGAACACTGTGCCAGAGAGGGGCAGGCCTGCTAACCTCCTTCTGATTTTTCTGGTCAGGCTTATAATAGACATCATGGTATAGTGGAAGGAGCCTTGGATATGGAGTCCGATGACCTGGATTCAAATCTTAGCTGTGCCCTTTGGGCAAGTCACCACTTCCCTGGGATTCAGTTTCCTCACCAGTGAAATGATGCCTTGGCCAAGATGCTCACTTAAAGAACTTCCTATAGTAATTCTGAGTAAAAATGATCAAGAAGGTTGTCTTTCCTCCATTCCTTCCAGATGCAGAATTATCAGTCGCTTACCCAGCATTTCTTAAGCTCCTATTAATTGCCAGGGACTGTGGTAAGTGCTGCAGATAGAAGTACAAGGAATGGCATCATCTCTATAGGCAAGGAGTTTCTGCTCTAGTGGAAGAGCAAGCACTTCTTATAGAAGTACATAGAGTATAAATAAATAGAAAGTTGGGAAGTAGGTAGAGCAGTAATAGTTGTGGGGAGGGCCAGTGCAGGGCCACAGAAATAGGGGAAGGGGTGCTATTTGGGAGGAATAGAGAGACACTAGAGTCTCAAACTCCAATAAAAACTGGGGCCACTAAACTGTACATAAGGATACTTTCAGGCTGCATATTGACTTAAAACTTGCATATTGATATTTGCTATGTATTTGCTTGCATTTTCATTTATTTTGTAAATATTTTCCAATTACATTTTAAATTTTTTTAATTTTTACGCTTTTATTTAGCATTTCATTTTTCTTCAGTTACATGGAAAAAGTTTTTAACATTTGTTTTTTAAACTTTGAGTCCCAAATTCTTGTCCTTCCTCCCTTTCCTCCTCCCCTCATTGAGAAAGCAAGCAGTTCTGTATAGGTTATACCCAATTACATTTTAATCAGCAGGCAGTATGGGGGAGAGGAGGGTTCTGGATTTGGAGGGATGATGTGGCCAGATCTGCACTAATGAAAACCACTTTTGTGGCTGTGTGGAAGGTGTATTGGAATAAAGAGAACTTGAGGGAAGTAATGAATGCCTGAACCAATGTGGTGAACTAGAAGGGCATTTATTTGGATCTTTCAGTTTCTAGGGCTTCAGTTTATGTAAGAGTTCTCCTGATGATGTCAGAACAAATTGCATCAGTTTTCTTAATTTTTAAAATTATGTGAACGCAGTATTCATTTACGTGTCTCAGTCACCTGGGGGGCATTTAGTGATTTTTAAGGTTTCCTTAGTTCCAGTGTAATCAAGCTGAGAATAATGAGTTGCCATTGTTGTCAGCATCATACACAGCTGTTCTTGGGCCAGAAAGGACCCCTCATGGTAAACAGATTACAGTTAGCCTGAAGGGTGACACCAGTGAAGTAATTCTTAGTGTCCTCCCTGAAGCTACTTTTAGACCCACCTGTTTAACAGTGCCAAGGACTAACAGGCTCATTTATGTCACAGTTATTGTTCTTTTGCTATTGGCATTTCATCAGATTCAACAATCAACACTGAGTGCCTACTATATGCAAGGTTGAGAATGTGGAGCTGCTACATACAACCCAGTGGATAGTGGAGGTTTTGAGAAATCTACAAACGTTAACTGTGATTTTCAAGCAGAGTGCTATGAGAGAAAATAAAAATTGGGTTTGGAATCAGAGAACCTGGGTTGTTGAGAATCTCAATTCTGCCACTTCCTGCTTTGGTGATCTCTGGCTAGTCATTTAACCTCTGCGGGACTTAGTATTCTCATCTGTAAAAGGACACGGTTAGGCCTTAAAGCCCTTTCCAGCTCTAATTATATGCCCCTATGGCATTAGTTGGTAGGAGAGAACATTGTCACATGTGAGGTAGGTAGGTTTGGGGCTGAGGTCTGGTTTTGGGAAAGTTGCCAGGATAGGGTGGGGGGAGGGTAGCACTTGAGTTGAACCTCCAAGGAAAGTAGTGATTGAAGCAAGCAGAGATGGGCAGTGATGGCATTCCAGGAATAGAAGGTAGTCTGGGGAAATGCATAGAGGAAAGTGTGAAATAGAAGTGGAGTAATTCAGTTTGGCTAGAACAGCGTACACAAAGAGGTTTAACATGAGGCCAGAAAGGCCATGTGTGGCCTTCGAGGTCTATGGGTGCAGCCTTTTGACTGAGTCCAGGTTTTACAGAATAAATCCTTTTATTAAGGGGATTTGTTCTTTGAAGGTTGGATTCAGTCAAAGGGTCACACTTAAGGACCTAGAAGGTCACAAATGACCTCAAGGCCAGAGGCTCCCCACCCCTGTTATTCAATAGGCATCGGCTTTGTTTTTTATTCTTTGTTATCCCAAGAAGTACTGCTTGTAAGTGTTTTGTTTCAAAGGAGTTTCGCATCATATTTCTCTGGTTAGGGCTTGTTATCCAAGATGTAGAACCAATTAACTTTGTATACACACATATATGTGTATATATATACAAACCTCTTACCTTACATGGGTGTGAATATGAATAGATATATGCTTTATATCTGTATCATCTATACCTGTAACATCAAAAGGCATTTTCCAGGAGATGAGTAGTCATGTGATACAAACAAACAGTTCTCAGAAGAACTGCAGACTATTTAGAACCATTTGGAAGAATGCTCCATATCCCTAACAAGAAGAGAAATGCTCATGAAAACAGCCGTAAGGTTTCATCTCACACTCTGCAAACTGGTAAAATTGACCAAAAAAATGGAACTAGTCAATGGGTTTTTTGGGGTTTTTTTGTTTTTGTTTTTTTGGGCTAGGCAGTAGGGTTAAGTGACTTGCCCAGGGTCACATAGCTAGTTAAGTGTCAAGTGTCTGAGGCCGCATTTGAACTTAGGTTCTCCTGACTCTGGGGCCAGTGCTGTACCTGCCCCCTAGAACTGGTCAATGTTGAGGGTGTTGTGGACAGATGAATGAGTACATTGTCAGTTGAGCTGTAAATCAGTACAGCTGTTGTGGAAAGCAGTTTGGACAGGTACAAATAAAGTGGCTAAAATGTCTGTACTCTTTGACCAGAAGATTCTACTGGCTGACCCGAGGAGGTCACTAATAAGCAGAATCCTTGAATATGCCAGTGCCTTTTATAGGTCTTTTTTGTAGAAGTTGTTGGTTTCTGGCCTTCCGCATATGTCTAAAATATTTTTTGTTCCGTGTACTGTATTTGCTTATCCTTGAATATGTGTTCCCATAGTGACATGTAAGTCCCTTGAGGGTAAGTACAGTCTCAATCTTGTCTTTTTGTCCACAATGACTGGTACATAGTTGATTCTTAATCAGTGTTTGTTGAATTGAATTGAATTTAGAGGTATGTGCATGGTGCTTATTTTGAGGAGTTCTTATTGGAGTAGGGCCTTTCCTGTCCCACCCCCTAGAATGTTATATTTTCCAGAAAAGCCACTGGCCACTGTGTTTTGCGAAATCAGAGAGGGAAGAATCTCCTCTGGGTTAGTGTTCACAACTGAGCCGTCCCATTCCTCCATCCTTTTGCTTTCGACTCTTGTCTGCACCTTTGGAGCCTAGTCCTATTTGGAAGGCCATCTCTGTTCCATATTGGTATCAGTTTCTTTTTGATCAGAAGTCATGCTTTAAAAAACCAGCCACCACCATGAGAGTGGACTGTCCGAACTGTCTTGATAACAATGATAACAGTGACCTCTTGGATCTTCCCCCAGCTTTAACGGCTGCTGCAGGAAGAGGGAAGCTGGAAGTGTGTGAATTGCTGCTACAACATGGAGCAACTGTGTCCAGAACGAACAAAAGAGGGATCCCGCCCTTGTTCTGTGCTGTGCGCCAGGGCCACTGGCAGGTACTGTACATGATGGTGTTCTGCTCCAGAGACAAGACAGAGAGTGGGAACTTCATCTGGGAAAGGGGCCTTGAGTGACAGCTTGCCCTTCCCCCTGCCCTTCAGGGCAAACCTCTTACTAGACCCATGTCTGTGTTTTCTTTTTCAAACCTTTTCCTTCTGTGAATTTTCTCATATTTTTTCCCCCAAGGAGCTACTCCCATGATTATAAACTCAAGCATCTGAAATACTGTGTGCTGCTGCACTACGAGCCAGGGAAGCTGGATTTTGATGGCTAGGTGGTAGACAAAGCTTTTTCACTTATTTTCTGAATGAAGGCTTCCCACACTTTGGAGATTGGGAGGATATTCTTGAGAGAAGAATATAAGGACAGGATAGGTAGGAACAGTCATGGTAATAAAGTATTTGCCATAATGTACCTTTTTTTGTTGTTGTTGCTGTTATTTTTGGCAACTGAGCACAGTTGGAAGCGGGCTTTTGTTAGAAAAAAGAAAAAAAAATGCCCTACCAGCTCCATAGCACAATACAGGTGAAATTCTTTGGCATTGGATTTTAGGGTGGGGTCCCCTTTAATTCGTGGCAGCAGGATGTCCCCAAACCGGAAACAGCATGGAATGCAAGCAGCTGGTCTGTACTCTTTCATTACACAAGGAATTTCCTGGATAAAATTTCCCATCACAGAATTGCTTTTGCAGTGATTTGCAAAAATAGTTCCACAACTGGAAGCTGTGAATGACTCTCCGTGAGCACTGGACACAAGGGCTCTTTCCCAAATTTCCTTTGAGTTTCTGAAGGTTTGGTCTTTAATACATTGGTGTAATATAACATGCCATTCATTCCCTGCTTCAGGACTGGCTGCTTCTCCTCTCTGGTGTTAGGCTGCCTAAAGCAAGTGGATTAGTATTGCAGCCAGAACGAGTGGCATAAAAGTAGCCTGGCTTGTTTGCGCTCTAGCTCCTTCTTTAAACCCAGCAATAGACACCTCTGTGATGAGGAACACAATTGAAAGTACACTGAACAATGGCTTTTGAGAACCTTGTCTCCCAAGATTAATTTCTGGCACCTTTCCAAGGAAGCAGGCTAAACATCAGGACATTGTAGCAGAAAAACCTGCTTACGCAATATCGGTGAATTGCAAATGGCTTTGTTAAGAGGATGGGTTATCTCCAGGGACATTATTGAACATTTGAGGTCTTTAAAAGAAGTGGTAATGTCCAAACCTGCCTCATTCCAATAGATTCAAAGGAAGCTTAGTGTGTTTCATTGTTTAAATGTTGTTTTCTTAACTTTCATCCAAATTTACCTTTCTGTTCCTACCATGGACCATGATAACTCTTTATTCTCCATTCTCAAGTCCCATTTTCTTCCATGTCCGTAACTGTTGATATGATGTCATTAGCAGATTTAGATCAGTTTTTCTTAACTGTTATTATTAGTCTGTTCCCCTTTACATGCACATTATATAAATTAATCCTGTATGTTAAAAAGAGCATTTCATTTAACGTGCTTAATTAATATTTATAAGTGGGGCGACCACCTGGAAAACATGTTTAAAGGGTTAACATAGGCTAATTATGAAAGTCTTACCTGTCATCAAAGTAGCAGCCTTTAAAAATAACTAGCGTTTTGTTGTGCTTCCTTCCTAAAGGAAGGAAACTATGGCGTTTGGGGGAGGGAGGATAAGTGGTTTGAAGTATTATGGAAATAGATTTATTCCAAGTGTTCCTTTTTAGATTGTCAGATTGCTGTTAGAACATGGCTGTGATGTGAACTCAGGTGACAAGCAGGGTCGGACCCCACTCATGGTGGCTTCTTGCGAGGGGCATTTGAACACTGTGGAATTTTTGCTCTCCGAAGGTAACATATATCCACATGTTTATAGATGGACAGAGAGATAATTTATTAGGATCTTTCATTAAGGCCTAATTAAAATTAACTGCATTCATGAACAGGCCATCTTGGCAGGATGGCATAAATGTGTTTGCTTTTTAACATTTCCTTTTGAAATTAAGACCAACTCTGCTGTGAATGGACTTTTTTTTTTCAGGTGCAGCTATTTCTTCTCTGGATAAAGAGGGACTGTCAGCATTAAGCTGGGCATGTCTGAAAGGCCATAGGGGAGTGGTTCAGTACCTGGTTGAGAAAGGAGCTACAATAGATCAAACAGACAAGAATGGGCGCACACCCCTAGATCTGGCAGCATTTTATGGTGATGCAGATACTGTAAGTGAAAGTGAAATGTTGAAAAACTCCACCCCCACTTTTTAGTTAAGAAATAAGAATTTGTTTGTATTTCACAAGGGCTAAAGTTAAGAAACATTGAAGTAAATATCAAAAAGTGAAAAACTGCCAGGGTGTGGTTGAGTGCGATGTCATACGAAACATGTAGATGGCATTTTTATTAGATTTTCGGGGGAAGGGGACTTATCTTTTCATCTAACCTCTCAAAATGAGATAATACCTAGAGAGAAACACAATTTTTTTTAAATTTTATTAATTTATTTTGATTTATCTACAATCACTTCCATATGCTTTTGAGTTGAAAATTTTTCTCCCCCTTCCTCCCCCCAAGATGGCACACAGTCTGATATATGTTTTACATTTAAATACCCATTAAACATATTTTCATATTAGTGAAGTTGTAAATAAAAATTAAAACCAATAGGAGGACCCATCAGAAAGATGAAACAAAACTCAACAGAAGGTAAAAATAAGTGATAGCGATTCAATTTCCATACTTCTTTCTTTGGATGTGGACAGCATTTTCCATCCCAAGGCCTCTGGAGATGTCTTAGATCCTTGCAATGCTGAGAAGGGTTCAGTTTAACATTCTTAGTCATTGCATAACGTGGCTGCTATTGTGTACAAAGTCTTCTTGGTTCTGCTCACTTCACTCAGCATCAGACCATATAGGTTTTTCTGAAGTCAGCCTGTTCATCATTTCTTATAGCACAATAGTATTCTATTACATTCGTATACCACAACTTGCTCAGCCATTCCCCAATTGATGGGCATCCTCTCAATTTCCAATTCTTTACCATCACAAAAAGAGCTGCTATGAATATTTTTGTATATGTGGGTCCTTTTCCCGTTTGTTTGATCTATTTGGGATATAGCCCTAGAAGTGCTATTGCTGGATCAAAGGGTATGCACATTTTTGTAGCCCTTTGGGCATAGTTTCACATTGTAGAAACACAAATATTAACAAATGGGGATTGAAACATGTGATTAAAAGTTATGTCTGGGGGCAGCTAGGTGGCACAGTGGATAGAGCATCGGCCCTGGAGTCAGGAGGACCTGAGTTCAAATCCGGCCTCAGACACGTGACACTCACTAGCTGTGTGACCCTGGGCAAGTCACTTAACCCTGTTGTCTAGTCCCACCAAAAAAGTTATATCTGTAATTCCTTAAATAGAACTATCTATATAGAGAACACAGTAAAATTACCGTCTAAGAGACTGATAATCAGATAATTGTGTATTGTTTATCATTGATGTAGCATGCTTTAAAAATACAAAAAATTTTGGAGACTACCAAGTTCCATAAAACAATTAGAGTAATTACCTCAGACCCAGTAAATTTTGTCAAGTTTTCTCAAACAGATTTTCAAAAGTATTTTTTACCCACTTTCCTCTCCCTATCCTACCTATGCTATTTCTTCCTCCCCTTCCCCTCCTTTCTCTTATCTCTCTCTGTCTCCCTCTCTCTCTTCTCTTTCCCTCTTCCCCCCTCTCCCTTCTCCTCCTTTCCTCTCTCCTTTCTCTCTGTCCTGAAGTATCAAAGTTGAATGTAGGACATTTTCCCATAGAGAATTGTAGGCATTATAAATATCGCATTTGGATAGAGAGCTTTTCCCTTTTTCTCTCATACTTATTTCTAGTCATGGCAGTGATATCAGATCATCACTCCTTCCCCTTACGCTACTTTCACACTTGTCATTACAAATGTCACAATGCTCTTTCATTCATTTTCCTCTGCCCTGAAGTTAATTATATTCAAATACATATGGTGGGTGCTCCTGGATTACCTATTCATCCTAGTTTTACATCCTCACCTTATTGATCTACATCTTTGTAAAATGTCTGTTGCTTTAAGCTGTGATGGCAGTAATGCTGGCTCCTAAGTAATATGGCGTAAGAATGTGCTTGTGGTTTCCCTGGCCTGCCTGTGTACTCTTGCCTGTACCTGTTTACATGCATGCATTAAAACAAGTCAGCCTCGTATAACAGGATGGCTTCCAGCCATAGAATCTGGTCATTTTGGGTTTATTTTCTACTTCACTTCCCTTCAGGAATGCCAGCGGTCACAGCTTTTAAAATAAAAGTCAGGAGTATGTCTTTCTGTCATTATATCCAGATGAAAAGATAAGACAGATTCTTATTAAATTTGGGCAGTGGCTCTTTTATAGATGAGGAAATTGAGGCACAGAGAAATAACTCGTCTGGAGTCACAGGTAAGTGGCATAGTGTCTGTTGTAGGATTTGAAGATAGGTCTTCCTGATTCCAAGTTCAGTGGCCCATCTACTGCGCACCTGTGCCTCTCAGCTGTGTAATGGTAACTAAAAGGCCTTGACTTTGTCCCTGCTACAGGTTCTCTATCTTGTGGAAAAAGGAGCTGTCATTGAGCACGTGGACCACAGTGGCATGCGTCCTTTGGACAGGGCAATTGGTTGTCGTAACACATCTGTCGTGGTCACCTTACTGAGAAAAGGAGCCAAATTAGGTTGGTAAAACTCCCTTTTTTTCTCAGGTGGGATGAGGCTGAAGCTTCAAGATGGGTTAGTGGAAAACCAATAGATTTCTAAAATTCAAATATTTGGAATTTCCTCTCATTTCAATATCCATTTGTTCATAGTGACCTCGAGGGTATAGGTAGTTGGTGATGCATTACCCACCTGACAGCCAATTGTGGTTACTCTGAAAGGTTCTGTGGAAGAGTTAAGACTTTGGTAGAATGTCACATAGGGAGAAAGGAGGAGAATGATTATCTAAAAATACATGGACAGGAGTTAGTGGATTCATAGCTAGAAGGAACCTTGAATAACCCCTACAGGGAGAATAACAGAGCCAGGATCTAAACTTCGGTCCTCCGACTATAAATCTAATTCTCTTGCCACTGGATCATAACTGCCTTTGGGGAAAAAGATGTTGCAAACCACCATTCTGTGAACAGATCTGGAATATATGCACACAGAGTTGTCTTCCAGGTTAGGAGTAGCCGTTGATTTAGCACAAATATGCCAAATGGATTTGGAGTAAGAGGATCTGGGTTTGAACCTTAATTAATGATACTTTACCTGTGATTTGACCCTTCTGAACCTAAACAAAGAAACTTAGGTTACTCCATCTGCAAAATGAGATTGAACTAAAGGGATGTCTCAGGTTCCTTCCAGCTCTGAAATTCTTTCACCTGTATGCTCAAAAATTAATATGAGTAAGCACCTGAAACAGGCTTTTGTTTCCCTGTGAAAATACTTTAAAAGCCATAAAGTGCTATATAATGTAAGCTGCTGTTATAGCTCCTTAACATGATGTTTCTCCAACTTAAGAAATTTGTTTTTAAAGTGGCAGTAATGGAATATTTTGAGATGACTCAGTGATAACACAAAATGGACTCTGGGTTGTTTGTATTCGTGTCCATCCCACATAATCTAAGAACAAAAACGTGCTTTGTTGTATAGATTGAGGACTTAGTGTTGTTGTTCATTCAGTTTTCAGTTGTCTGATTCTTCGTGACCCCATTTGGGGTTTTCTTGGCAAATTATTGGAGTGCTTTGCTGTTTCCTTCTTTGGCTCATTTAACAGATGAGGAAACTGAAGCAAACAGGTTTAATGACTTGCCCAGGGTCACACAGTTAGTAAGTGTCCGAGGTTGGATTTGAACTCAGGTCTTCCTGACTCCAGGTCTAGCATTCTATCCACTGTACCACTTAGTTGCCCGATTGGGGACTAGAAACCGTTTTATATCCATGACCAAGCTAAAAATTTATCATGAAGTCTCAGCCAGCATTCAAAAGAATTTTGACTCTTACAGGAAATGCAAACCATAGAAGTGAGAGCACTCTATGTAGTGCTAGATAAGAGTTGCAGCCTTTAAAATTTCCTCTCTAGCCCTTACATGCCTATTGGTTTGGGCCCACATATGTATGTTAGAATACTTTAAATCCAAGACTTCATTCTAAAAAAGAAAATTGTAGAATGTTAGAGAGGGGAGGGAAGGGGCCTTAGAGATCATCTAGTCTAGCATTTAGAGCCGATAGGGACCTTAGCAGTCAGCTTGTCTCTGCTTACCACATATACTTTACAGGTTAGGAAGCTACATACAGCCTTCAGTGAAACATTGATGTTAGTAACAAAAAGTGGTATGCTGAAGATGTGTCTTGTAAGCTTCTCCAAAGAGGCAGAGGTGGCTGCAGGGACACAAATTTACTTCCAGTTGTTGATATGCATTTAGAAGTAAATGCTTGATATCAGTAACTATTTTTCATGTAGCGGATATCTTAAGGATAGAGTAGTTTTATGGGTATACTCCCCATATTCTTTCATTCCTTTGTTGACTGAATGCTAGAAAACTAGCCATCGGTCCTCCTCAGTGGGTTGTGTGTTGTTTGCAAGTGCAGCTATTGAAGCCGGCCTTAGTTTTAAAACATGATAGATAGGGCAGTGCAGTAAGAAGATTAGAATTTCTTTCTCCCAGTACTGCTGCAGCCTGTTTACTATTGAATACATTTGTTTTGTAGGAAATGCAGCTTGGGCAATGGCCACTTCAAAACCTGATATTCTGATTATACTTTTACAGAAGTTAATGGAGGAAGGAAATGTGTTGTATAAGGTAAGTGGTGTTCTCCTTTTTTTCTCTTTGGACATTTTGCTCCGAGCTTTGGCTAGTAGCATTTAGTAACTTTAGGAAGCGGACAGCTTTTACCTGTCAAAGCACACACAACTTGGTATTGGTAGAAATCCCATGAGATGCTGACCTGGGACCTCATGCCCAATATGTTGGAGACTTTGATTAGATTTTTTTTTTCTTTGTGCTATTCAGCTTTAAATAAATTTTAAATATTTTTTTTCACTTTAATGAGAAAGGATTCTCTCTTTAAAAAAAGTTTCAAATTTCATAAACACAAAATTGCCAGTCATTTATTTTGAATTAAATGGCAACACGACTAAAATTCTGTTTAGATAATCAACACTTGTGTCTCAAAAATGACTATAAGATTCCACAAAAGTTTTCTTTAGATCTGACCTCATATTTAATAATGGTAATGTGTTTTTATCTTTAGCAAATATAATTACCAAAGCTGTAAGAACATTTAGCAAACACACTTCATTTTGTTAGCAGTTGCAGAATATGATAAAACCTTGATGTGAACAGTGTCAGATGAAAAGGCTGGTATTTATCAAATCAGATCCCAGAATTACAGATTTAGAGCTAGAAGGAACCTTGGTGAACATGTGGTCTAACCTCTTCATTTTACAGAGGAGTAAACTAAAGCCCAGGCTGTTAAACTGACTTGCTTAGAATTTGCACTCTGTTTTTCTTTTTTAGAAAACTGCAAAGTATTTGGCCTTCTCTGGTCCTTTGTCACCATTCTTGTTCTCCACAATTTTTGTTGAGTCACTGATCTTTGAATTACTTGTCAGTAGCTCTTCTGAAACCCTAGAATATGGTTTGTTTCGGCCTGATGCCTTCAACTCAGCTGAGATAGACTATATCTTTACTTACTTTGGATTTCTGCTCTTAATCACTTATTTTCCCCTCTGGTTCTTTCTAGCCCCCAGATCATTCTCCCCTTATGCTTATTGTCTCCCCCATTGCATTGAGCTCCTTGAGGGCAGGGACTATCTTTTGTTGGTCTTTGTATCCCCAGCACTTATCACAGCCCCTTGCACAAAGCAGGAACTTAATATGTATTGACTGGCTGGGTCCCAAATGTGTTTCATCTTTTAAAGGATGATAAGTTATCATTAAGGGAAGTCAAGATAATATTATCTGTTCAGGTTTTGGTCAGAGAGGAGGGCTCTCTAGCATATATTTCACCAATCCATCTAAGCATAAATATTATCCTAGCCTTATCACTTGAGTAACTGCTAAAATTTTATAATATCGATGAGATAATTATTTACTTGAGATTGTCAAATGATTTCTGGCATTTTTTTTGTGTGGCTTCTAGCTATTCTCTCCTGAATAAATAGAATTAAAAAAGATTTCAGATTTGTCCACAGTAGGACTCCATTGTGTGATACTATGCTAGTTATATTCCAGTTCTGACCAGATGAAATTAAAACCAAAATCTGTAAAATTACTCCCTCACCGTTTTTCGGTGAGGTTGTTACTTTTCTCTTCAGATGTCTATTTGTTTCTTTAAAAAAAAAATCCTTAAAACTCACAGAGCATAACCCAGCAGGGTTTCTGACTTAAGGAATCAGTTTGAAATTGAGTTCAGAGTGTGTATTGCTGTGGCTTTGAAGTGGTTTTAATATGGATTTGGGTAGGCAATTATGTCACAAATATCAAGCCAATTTCAACAGGCTACATACCTGCTGTGCAATGGAAATGACTGAGCAAATAGGTTTCTTTAGCACTGAAAATGTGGTGCTGTTCTGATTTTTTTAGCCATTGCTTCCAGTTCCTTTAAAGAAAAAAATTACTATTCTATGGCAAACAATCTAGGTTTCGTCTTATCTACAAGACTCTACTTGTCTTAGGAATGAGAACATTTTTTTAATCTGGCTCTTCCCAGAGTATAATCTCTTAGGATGAGATATTTATGAAACTGTTTCTCAAGGAAGTATAAAAGGAAATGTTAAAATTTATATTATATTAATATTTTAGTTTTTCTTATACATTTCTTATATACTTATAAAAATATGTCCGGTGTGAATGTGTGAGGCCCTGCATAAGGAGTATGTAAAAGGAAGCTAGTATGATCCTCTGGCTTTTCTTTTTAAATCTTGGATGATTTCTGTTAATGATAAATTAATTACTGAGGCTTAAAATTTCTTTAGGTGTGTTAAAGCAAAACTGTTTATATTCCTGTCAGATACTTAAAATTCCCTTCATTGAATCCTTGTCCTGAAATCTTTCCTTCTTACTGATAGAAAGGGAAGATGAAGGAAGCAGCCCAGAGATACCAATGTGCCTTAAGGAAATTTCCTCGTGAAGGGTTTGGTGAAGACATGAAGGCATTCAATGAACTACGGGTTTCCCTCTATCTGAACTTGTCCCGGTGCCGAAGGAAAACAAATGTAAGTTGTATCTTGTCAACCATTCTACATTCTTAAGCCATGGAAAAGTAGATATGTGCTGTCCTTTTTAGAGAGTTTAATTTCTGTGATAGTAGCATATGACAGATTTGCTTTTCTTAGTTGACTATGTCATGATCAGTGTTACCTTTAGACTCTTTTCCTTTTGCAGGTGAGGAATCTGAGCCCCAGGGAGACTGATGTGCTTGAGATTATCCAGTTAACTGCAAAAGCTGGGACTAATTGTCCATACTGTTAAGAGATAGCTTTCCCCTGGGTGTTAATTTTCTCAGTGTCTGAAAATTTCCACTCTGTATTTGCCTTCACATTTTCTTAACCTGCTCTTAAGTTTTAAAGGGCTTTCTTTCTGCTGGTTTGTACCTGCCAGGGCAGAGATATTAGTAACTGATATTTCCATTCTGTTTCCAACAGTTGCCTTTGAAATCAGCAAAGGGAGTAACATAGGTTTGTGTTTTAATACTTCTGTATAACTAATGTCCTTTATATTTTGATGTCAGGATTTTGGCATGGCAGAAGAATTTGCTTCCAAGGCTCTGGAGTTGAAACCCAAATCCTATGAAGCTTATTATGCCAGAGCAAGAGCAAAGAGGAATAGCAGGTACTTTATATGCAGGTGGCTAGAGGAGCTGCTTTATCTTTGGCACTGTCCCTAATATTCACCTCCTGATAAATTAATGGCATTCTATTTCATAAGTATCTTCCATAATACTTTTTAATACTTTATAATATTTTTAATACTAATATATCAATAAAGCTGAATTTGTTTCCTGGCTACTCGGTAGTGATGGGATTCTTGTTTTTGACCAGTTGAGATTTTGTGCTAGGTACATGTCCTAGTTGGAAGTTCTTTCTTGTTACCCTGTGTTCCCAGAATGGATTGACCTGTATTAAATAAAATAGACTTTTCTGTCATCTAGGGGAGTAGAGGCCTTTTTTCACTGCTGATCCATCATAAGGGCTAGTAATAAAGCACTAAGAACTTTTTATAAAGTGTTGATATAACATTATATAAATAATGAAAGGAGTTTAAGTCAGACACACCAAACTGTTGTTGTTTTTGATGGTTAGGGTGTTTTCTCCATTTGTATGGGGTTATTCTGTTGTCTTTGTGCACATTTGAAATTCTAGTGGAATGACATTTCGACGACCCACTACAACTTTGAAATTATCTGTACAAAAGTTATATACTCCAAAAGTTTTCCTTTCTCCCTCTCCCACCCAAGTAAAAATTTTATTTGATAAAGTGCACATCTCACGATTTTAATCTCTTTCCTTATTACAAAGGCAATTTGTGGCTGCTCTGGCTGATTTGCAGGAGGCTGTGAAGTTGTGTCCCACCAACCAAGAAATCAAGAGGCTTCTGAGTCGTGTAGAAGAGGAATGCAAACAGCTGCAGAAAAGCCAGCAACAGAAGCAACAGTGCCCTCCCTTGGCCCCAGCCAATGACTCAGACAATGAGGAGGAGGCCCCACCTCCTGGATTGGATGATCAGTTTCCCACGGAGGAGGCTGAAGAGGAGGTGACAGTGCAGCTGGGGGACTTGGTTTCACTGCCTGTGAGGCCTCAGCCCTCTTCCTCAGCACCTGCTCCATACAGTAGAACCCTTCAGGAAGGTCTGCAGCCAAAAGCAAGATCAGCATCACCCCAGAATAGGCCAGCAAGCAGTAAGCTCCCAAGGGAGCCAGTTGTTCAGCCAGGTTTGATAATGCAGCCTACTAAGCGGGCACAGATTGTGAAAACCAACCAGCACCTGAGTTCTCTTCAGTCTAACTTGAGAACTGGAGTAGGTACTAGTGGTGCAAAAATTCAGGCTTCTTCTCAGAATCCTCCCCCAAGTCCCATGCCAGGAAGGTCACCTGCGATTCTCACTAATAGAAGCCAACATTTAGAAGGGACAGGCTCTTTCCCTACAGGAGCCAACTCTGGCCTATATGGTGACCGGCTGGGCATCAGTCAGAATGCACATCTGCAGCGCAGTGAGAGTGGCTCTGCATATCCTTTACCAAGCAAGGTTAAAACTGCAGAGAGGCTTCTAGCTCATGCTTCCTTAACAAATATGGAAGTAGCCCCTCCAAGCCAAAGCGTGTCAGTGAATTGTAGTGATATGAGGCATGTAGGTTCTCTGGCTAATTCAGCCTCTAACGGTTCTCCATCTGGAAGCATGAAAATGTCCACTTCAGCCAGCAGTTTAGCTTCAAGTAGCAGTTTTTCCGATGGTTTGAAGGCCCAAGGGGTAGATGCAAGAAATAAGGAGAAGGTGGCTAATAACCAGGGTCAGAGTGGTACAGCTGAGCACAGGCCACGCAATACTCCATTCATGGGCATTATGGATAAGACTGCAAGATTCCAACAACAGGGAAATCCATCCAGCCGTACCTGGCACTGCCAGGTGACCGAGGGGTTACTGACAAACCCATCTGCAGCTGGCCTGCAGTCTTCACACTGTGAGCAGCCCTCTGTCAAACAGTAGGAGGATACAATAACCAAACTAAAATGTGTTCTGCTTCCCCCCTGGGTGGAATTGTCCACAATGGGGCCCAGTTGAAAGAACTTGAGGAAAACAAGTGCCAAATATCAGCCCATTGTCAAGACAGCCGGAGAGCCAAGAATGTTTCTCATTTGTATCCGGAGAGCATCTCGAAACAACAGCCCCCTATTAGTAAGGAAATCCATCGGAGTCATATCACTTCAGCAAAACCAAAGCGATCGTTCATAGAATCCAATGTGTAAGCATTAAGAGAAGTGCTGTGTAAAACAGAGAAAGCAATGTACTGGTGCCTGGGGTAAATTACTAATTGTGGCTGTTTTATCCTAAAAATAAGAGCTTTTTAGTTATGGTTTTTGATGTTTTCTGTGGGGCTGATTGTGATTGGGTATTGACCATCAGTGGTATCAAAAAAAGTAGGATAAACCACTTTAATGTGAAGCTAAAAGTCACCATGAACAAGAATGTTAACTGGAATGTCAAGCAGAGCTGGAAAAAATTGACAAATAAATGGTTAGCAATAAAATAGGGAGCATCCAAGGAGATACTGTTTTGTGTCCTTTGCTTCACTTATGAGACTGTTTATAACGATCTCTTTTCTGGGTCGTTGATACGATGAAAATCGCAGTATTTATCTAAAGAATATTCACACTTTTCTCATTCCATGTGTGAGAAACTCCTAGAACTGTAGGTAAAAAGCAGTAAATACATGTGCCCCAGGAATGTAGATAAATGCTTTTTGAATAAGGAGTATTATACTTTATTGATGGTTCAATAAATCCCTAGTTTAATATATAAGACATGATTTAGGAGTGATTTCTTAAGTCACTTTAAGTGGAGTATGAGGTGGGACTATAAAGTAATGTGATTGCTTCTCTTCCCCCCCCCCCTTAAAACAAATATCCAAGTAATTGTTGTCTTCATTATGGAAGTTGCCTTGAGATGCTATGTGTTTATTTCAACAGTGTTGTCATTGTTCAGAACCTTCTTTGGAACTGCTCTTTTAGAACTGTCTTCAGAGCCCATAGCTATCCTCCCTGAAGGCTGATCTTCATCTTTTGAAGGGGAATACAGCCCTAGGTGAACAAAATCAAGGCTAATGGTGATGTTTTGGGTAGAAGTATTTTACTATAAAGTAATGCAAGTAGTTCTCTCAGTGTGCAAATTGAGTGTGAAGGTAGTTCTAGAAGGAGTTCTAGAAATGAGAGCAATGGCAGCATTGCTGGGGTAAAGTCCCAGGGTGACTGCATTGAAAAATTAAAAACTCATTCAGGTGTAAATTCTTCTCAGTTGATAAAATCACTCTTTACAGTCACACTCTCTCTGAATATATATATGTATGTATATAGAAAAGGTAGTCCAGTTTTACTTAAACATGTAAATATAATTTTATTTTCAAATAGTTAATCCAGAAAAATGCAGCCATAGATTTAAATGCATGTTTTCTTTTTTAAAGGTTTCAACCATGCTGATTATTGCACTGAATAATATATTATTATGGCATGTTAAGTATACCAGTAACCGCACTTTATATAGTTTATATAAACACCTTTAAGGTGCTAAACTCCAAAATTATGTATCATTCATTTGTGGTGATAAGGTACAGGAAAAAGGTGTTTTTATATGAAACATGATGTGTTATTTGAAGGTTTCACTATAACAGTTTGAAAGCATTGGATGTGCATTTGTTTTTATAGGATGGGGTGTGAAATTTATTTTCCAGAGTTGGGGAGAAGAAAATTCTATATTTACAGAAGTGTTTTCAAAATGAATAGTTGTCATGAAGTTCCTGGGAGAGTCTGTTTTGTACAAGGTGGAATATTCCATTGTCATTCTTCTGCATCTGTTCTGTGTGTACAGTGTGTACTTTGTAAAGACAGCTTTATCCATTTTTATAAGCTTTTCATGAGTCTGCATATGATTACTTTGGCTTATTTATTGTTTTCTTTGATATTTGTATGTCTTATTCTTTTGTTATGTAGTTTGTTTTTGCACAGCTACTGTACTTTTCCATATGGAATAAAGACCATTAATAGAGTTTGCTCTGAGTTGAACAAAACCCTGGATGGGGTGGGAGTGTACTGTTTATAAGTATGATACACGCACTGACTTAACTTCGAGTGATCTATTACTGTACCAAGGCCTTATAGGAGTTCTAGAAGCTGAACGTTCACAGTAGGTCTTTGTTCCTCTGAAACACATTTTTCATAGATCAAATCTTTATTTTCACTTTCTAGCTGTGCCAGAAAAGCTTAGTGTCTGTTTTGACTGGCAACAGGATGGGTAATGCTCCAACTCTCAATCATTTTTGCCAAAACACACAGAAAACCGAGTGTTACTGTCACAGGTTTGCCTTTAGCACATTTATATTACAATATGTTTCATCTTAAAATGTTTGTTTTCATACCAACATGAATTTTAATTTCAAAGTAAAGAATGAACAAGGGTAAATGGCAAGCTGTGCTACCCCAAGATAAATTTTTGATCTATGCAGACTTGAACTTGATCTTTACATTTATCTAGTCAATTGTAATACTAAAGTATCTCCAAATCACCTCTTATTTATATTGACTCAGGGTGACTTTTTTTTCTTTAGGCAATTGGGGTTAAGTGAGTTGCCCAGGATCACACAAGCTAGTAAGTGTCAAGTGTTTGGTCTGAGATCGAATTTGAACTCGGGTCCTCCTGACTTTAGGGCTGGTGCTCTATCCACTGCGCCACCTAGCTGCCCCCATTTTCCCCCCCTAAATCCAGCAAATTCTGTAGTTTGGTTAAAGAAATTTCTTTGAAGCAAATTTTAAGGCTGTTTTTGGATGAAGATTCCTAATTGAAGGAAGACAGAGGAATATAAGGATCTTAATATGTTCAGTAGATAGTGGAAACTTGCCTTAGGTAAGGGAAGAAGTATTTATTAGGCACTTAATGTATGCTAAGCACTGTGCTAAGAGCTAGTGATACAAACTCAAGGGGGAAAAACAGTTCCTGTCCTCAGAGCTTATGTTCTAATGGTGGAAGCTAATACACAAAAAGGAGGTAAAAAGCTGGGGGTGGGGAGGGAGGAAGAAAGTGTATACACAGGGAATGAAGGCTGGCCAATCTGGGCCTCTTCACAAAATGGAGGCCCCAGGAAGAACTCAACAGCATGCTACTCAATGAACTCCCTGCTCTCTTGTATCATGCACATTTTCCTGAAGCAAGGTTAAGACTCAATTTTTTTTAATAAGGCTACCTGTGTTGCCTCAAATTGAATAAACCTGTGATTTTCATTCATTCTTTGGTTAAAAGCACTTGTGGTTCTGTCTGCTCAGATAAAGTAAAAGGTTCAATAATTATCATTTTTAGTTTCAGTGTCACTTAGAATAGCATTTATTGGTTCCTATTCCAGATTTTAAATTGTGACATTCTCTTGCTTAAAGCAAATCCAGTGTCTTAAAAAAAGCAAACACTACAGGTGCCATAGAAATGCTTTTGCATTAATGGTTGATTCTTCAGGTAGTGAACATATACCTTACAGATCACACTTCTTTCAAAAGAAATTATATCTAGTGATATTAAACAAGAACTGAGAAGAATTATATTAGTAAAATGCTGACATGCAAAAGTAGCAGTATGTAATTATCATATGTGAATTTAATCTGTTGTAAATGAGTTTTTATTTCTGAATAGGAATTTTTTCCCACTAAATTCACAAAATAGGAGCTATGATATTTTTATAATCATTTTATTAGGTGATCTTTCTATAATTTAAGCAAGAAGACTTCTGTGGGAAGATTTCCTTTTCCTAGGTTTTTCTTTCTGTAGATGGATATCTTTGATTGTTTAAATGTTTTTTGTTAGCTCATAATTTAGATGCAGAGCAAAGGCTTTCTAATCTAAGAATAAAGGTAGGTTTTAATTTGTTCCTTCTTTTTGAAATGAAGGATGAAATGAAATTTTACATAGAGGATGGATACATTTAGAGGAATGTAGTCCTCCTTTTTCTTTTGGTACACTGACATAAAACTTTCCTCATCATAGTCCTCTAAGTTAGATATTTATTTCCATGCTGCTGTTTTCATTTTACAGATGAGGAAAACTGACCTAGAGAGAGATTATGATTTCCCCACAATCTTTCAGCTGGTAAATGGTGAGTCCAGAACTAGAATTACATCTTCTGACTTCTAGGTCCTGGTGCTCTTTATATTATACCATCTATTTATTTATATTGCACATTGCTACCACAGTCAGTGGTGGCCATTAAAAGCTAAATCTCATTGGAAATGTAAAAGCCACTCAAATTAACCAAGAAATCATAAAGCTCCTTTAGAATCAGAAAAAACTTGCACCCAAATCTAACTTCTTTGAACCTAAAATTCCCTACTGGGGCAAGTCTTTTCTAAGTGAAGAGACCAAATTACCAGGCTGTCATGTAGAAAAGTTCTTTGCCCACAAGCTTGGAGTCAATAGCAATTTGTGGGAAAAAGAGGATAAAATATCAATTTTAGATACTATAATGACCTTGTAAACTCTAGCAGAAAGGCATTGTGACATGTACTTCCTGCAAGTGTGCCTGAGTAGCTTTTTCAATCTCACTTGATTTTTGTAGAAACTTGATAATTAGCTCTTTCCCAACTGTTCCCTATATTTTTCAGTGACAAACCACAGATTTTAATATAACTTACTAAATTTATCAGAACTGATAGAACCTCCCTAAATTCTTACGCAGGTAAGGTGTGGGCCTACCTCTGAAGTCCCTTTCAAACCTGAGATTCTGTAAAATTGTGTACACACAGACATACACACATACAAACACATTCACAAAGGATTGTCTGACATTTAATTTAGAGTATTAATATATTTTTTATCAGAAAGGGCAGTTCAAATGAATATATGTTAAATTCTGCTCAAAATAGGCCACCAGTGCTACAATGAAGATTTCTTTAGAGTGACATTTGTTGTAAGAATATTTGATACAAATACCTACCAAGGAGCCAACTTGGCTATAGTAATTGTTGTTGAGATATTTAATATTAAAAGACATTGTTACCTAATGCCAAAAGAAACCTTTTTGTTGTATATGTTAATTGGACTGCTTTGTATTTGTATAAAAATAACAACATAAATAGGGTTAGATATAGAATTTAATTCACAATATGTTTTAAAGACAAAATATAGAAACTAGTTAAACAAAATTTAGCTTACCTTCTTTTGGTTTGGATATAACAAATTTTTGAGTTCATATATGTTTTCCTTTAAAGCTGCTAGAAATTTACCTCATTGGAATTAGTAATTATCTAAGTAAGGACATTTAAACAGTTTCATTTCTGATGAGTCTCTAGCCAGCGATCGATGGCCATTTTCAGAGTCCTGTTTGGTGTCAGTACAAGTGAAGGAAGAATCAAATTAGTCATTGGACTTGTACGCTTCTTTTTGCTGATCCAATTTTCTATTGCTTCCTTTTCATAGGAATATCCATCTATAAGAAATAATTAGAAAATCCATCAGTTGACAAAAACAAATTTAACTCCTACAATGATCTGAGTTTTAAATCTATGACTGATGCCAGTTGCATTAATGTTGTGATTTTAATGGGTACTTGAAAGGTTTCTGTACTCTTTTCTCCCCAACCAGCCTTGAAAAAAATGGAGGCATTAAGTATTATGAAAATTAGAGCCATTATAACACTTTAGCTCAAATTAGTTTACCAAATAGTTTGCTGCAATGTTAGAAAGCTAAGAGCAGGATCCTGTGGGAACAATAAATTTTGAGATGGAAAAGAAAGAAGAAAGGAATCCATTGCTGCAGTCACAGAAGGCACTTTGGATGGGGTCATGGGAGGGACTGCAAGGCAGGGATGGTTAAGGAGTGTGGAAACCTCAGGAAGTTAAAGGACTTTGAATTCTTGGGTGCTAGCCCATGCTAATGCACTGACAATTTTTTCTAGGGCTACCCTGTCTGGGACTCAGTGGTCAAATGAGTCCACCATATTTTATATCCTTTATGTGAATAGTAAAAACAGTTTCTTTCAATGGCAAGTGATTCTTTAAAAAGTTCAATAAGAGTAGTCGTTAAGTATAGTGTGGTGGACTCTCCTTGGGGGATGGAGGTGGGAGCGCTAACATAAGAGACTGGAATATCTGTCCTTGGTGCTTACAGTTGGTTTTCTAGCCCCATTTGGGTGTTGCTTATGCCAAAAGATGAGTTTTGGGCGGAGAAAAAGTACCATCCAAGAAATTCACTTAGGAAAAAAACATATAAACATGTAATACAAACAAACATGGCATAATGGAAAAAGAGGCAGCTTTGATCAGGGAAAACTTGAGTTTTAAGTCCTATCTTGGATACATACTAGCTGTCTGACCTTGGGCAAGTCACTTAATCTTTGCAGACTAGGTGATCCATCTATTTTTCTGCATAACAGAGGTTCTTAACTTTTGTGTATGTCATGGATGTTTGGCAAAGTCTATGGATCCATTCTCAGAATGTTTTTAAATGAACAAAATCCCTTGGAATTACAAAGGAAACCATTTATGCTGAATATAGTTATGAAAATGTTTTTTTAAAATGTGAGTTTAAAATGTGGATATAACACCTACATTAATTTCAAAGTAGTGATGGTGAGTGTAAATGATATTTCAAGGTATCTGTGATACTGAAAAAAAATATTTCTACTGGTACCAGAAGTATTTTTAATACTATTGTAATTTGTTGCTAAATTTCAGTTAGAGGTTAGTGAAAATAAAAATTCATTTTTTCCCCTTGCCAAATTCAAAGAACCCTTGAAATGTATTGAAAGGTCTCAGATTAAGAACACCTGCTCTAAAACATATACATTTGAAATGCCTTTAAAAAAACCCAAAACACAACAAACTCTACTCCTAGATTGTATAGCTTGCCTGAGGATCCCCTTACTGCTGCTCCATGCTGTCCTTGCTCTTGTCCCCATTTGTTCCCAGGAACTTCACAATATAAACTTGAATGTTAATGCCATCTTTCCCACAGTACAATTTCATGCACTTCTATTCATATCACACATTACTAGTATTTTAACACAGAAAACTTTGTCCCTTGTTATGGGGGTTCCTTTCAAGCCCATTTCACAATTCTGGGGAAAGCACATTTTATTTAAAAAAAAGAATAATCCTGTATTTTAATCAAATGGTATTAGTATCTGCCAACACATATGTGACTAACAAAAGTAAAGTTCCTTTAATCTTAGATAATCTTAACATGTGGTACAGATCTTTGAAGCTTTAGGTACTAATATATATCGCTATTAAAGAAAAGAATGTATTCTGAGGACACATCTCTCTCAAAATTTGACAATGAGATAGAAACATCATTAACAAATAACATTAATACAAAGGATATGGAATTTCTTTTTTTTTTGGCTAGGCAGTGGGGTTAAGTGACTTGTCCAGGGTCACACAGCTAGTAAGTGGTATGTGTCTGAGGCCGCATTTGAACTTGGGACCTCCTGAATCCAGGGCTGGTGCTCTATCCACTGCGCCACCTAACTGCCCCTGGAATTTAATTTTCTACACGAAGAGAGTAGTACATTTACTGATGTGGATATTTCCTCCTCTAGTAGAGATACAAAACTGTTCTCTGACTTAAAGACAGTCTTCAACAATTGCTACGGTTAAAACATTCATCACCTTTCAACCTACATATTGAGAAGGTAAGTATTTGGGTATCTCAGGGTAGAATGATGAAATGTCTGACCTAGATGAGACCTAGATGAGAAAGGGGGGAACAGCACAGAAAGGAGGGGGAAAAGCCCAAAGGAAAGGGAATCTACTGTAGCTAATTAAATAACAGGTCCAGAATAAAACAGTGAAAACAGGCACAGAAAACTCTTGGTGAGAGACAGTGGAGTCTAACACAAAAATATAAAAGCACAAGAAAAAAGGACTTAACCGATATATTTTATACATCAGAGTGAATGAACTTGAAGATAAAATACGCAGAGGTAACTTAAGGATAATAGGTCTTCTGGAAGAACATGAAAAGTCAAACAACTTGAATATGATTCTGCAAGAAATAACATAAGAAAATGGTCTATAACTTTTGAATACAAACAATAAAGCTTTGCTTGACCAAACCAAGGCAGTGGTTAAATTTCACAATTTCAGTAAAAAGAATTTGTTTACAAGTATCTAGGGGGAAAGCCCCCCCCTTCAAGTATAAAGAAAAATTGGGGGTGGAATCAAGATAGCAAAGGCAGGAACTCTCCCAAATTCACCTCTAAACAACTATAAAATAATGCCTCAAAATGAATTCTGGAGCAGCAGAACCAACAAAAGGACAAGGTGAAAAAAGTTTCCAGCCCATGACAATGGTTAACACATTCCAGTGCAGTTGGTGTCCAGGCAAGCTAGCAGAAGGCCAGGTTCTAGCAAGCCTGTGGCGAAGCCCTGAGCCCAGGTGCAGGTTAGCTACCAGGCTCTGTGGCCTTGGCACAGCAGGACAGCCGAGAGGCCCTACTCTCCTGGTGCAGCAGGCAAGTGGCAAGATCCTATGGCCCTACTCTTTAGGCACAAGAAGCCTGGGACAGTGCCCCCTCCACCCCAGAAACAGAGCCCAACTTTAAAAATCATGAAGTAGACTGGGGAAAAAAATGAGCAAAAAAGAAAGGAAGAAAGAAAGAAAGAAACTGACTACAGAAAGTTACCAGGGTGACAGGGAAGACCAAAACACAAACTCAGAAGAGGACAACAATTTCAATATGCCTACATGTGAAGCCTCAAGAAAAATGTGAATTGGTCTCAGTCCAAAAAGAACTTCTGGAAGAGCTCAAAAAGGATTTTAAAAATAAAGTTAGAGAGACAGAAGAAAAACTGGGAAAAGAAATGAAAATGATATAAGAGAATCATGAGGAAATAGTCAACAGCTTGGAAGCTCAAAAAATGGAAAAAAAATGTACAAACATTCACTGAAGAAAACTCCTTAAAAAGTAGAACTGGGGGCAGCTAGGTGGCGCAGTAGAAGAGCACCGGCCCTGAAGTCAGGAGGACCTGAGTTAAAATTTGGCCTCAGACCAAACACTTGACACTTACTAGCTGTGTGACTCTGGGCAAGTCATTTAACCCCAATTGCCAAAAAAGGGAAAAAAAAAAAGAACTGGCCTAAGGGAAAATGAGATACAAAAGTTCATTGAAGAAAATTATTCTTTATAAATTAGCACTGGGGAAGTGGAAACTAATGACTCCATGAGACATCAAGAAACAATAAAACAAAATGAAAAGAATGAAAAAATAGAAAATGTCAAATATTTCATTGGAAAAAATGATTTGGAAAATAAATTGAGAATTACTGGACTATCTGAAAGCCAAGATCAAAAAGGAGGGAAAGTTTGGGGAGCATCATTTGAACCTTACTCATCAGAATTGACTCAAGTAGAATAACAAACACTCAGTTGGGTACAGAAATCTATCTTATCCTACAGGGAAGCAGGAAGGGGATTGATAGAAAGAAGGGCAGATTGGGGGAGGCAGTAGTTAGAAGCAAAATCCTGGTGAAGAGGGACAGGATGAAGAGGGAGGAAAAGAGTTACAAAGAAAGAGGGAGAGGGAGGGGAAAGCAGTAATTGTAACTGTGAATCGGATAAACTCACCATAAAATGAAAGCAGATAGAGTGGATTAAAAACTAGAATCCTACAGTATGTTGATTATAAGAAGCACATTTGAAGCAGAGAGATACACAGTAAAGGGCTGGAGTAGAATCTATTATGCTTCAGGGGAAGTTAAAAAAAAAAAGCAGGGGTAGCAATCATGATCTTAGACAAAACAAAAGCAAAAATAGACCTAATTAAAAAGGTAAAGAAGAAAACTACATCTTACTAAAAGGTACACAGACAATGAAGTAATTTCAGTATTGAATATATATGCACCAAATGGCAGAGCATCCAAATTTTTAAAGAAGTTAAACGAGTTAAAAAATCTGGAAATAGTAAAACTATACTAGTGAGGGTCCTCAACTTTTCCCCTCTCAGAACTAGATATATCCAACCACAAAATAAACAAGAAAGAAAATAGGGAGGTGAATAGAATTTTAGAAGAGTTAGTTATAATAGACCTGGAGAAAACTGAATGGGGAAATACCCTTTTCTCAGCAACCATGACACCTACACAAAAATTGTCCATGTAAGCAATCAAATGCAAACTGGTAGAAATGTTAAATGTATCTTTTTCAGATAATAATGCAATAAAAAATTACATTCAATAAAGGGCTACACAAAGATATATTAGAAATTATTTGGAAACTAATCCTAAGAATGAGTGGGTCAAAGAACAAAGCCTAGAAATAATAATTTCATTAATGAGAATAACAATGAGACACACCAAAATTTATTTGATTCCGCCAACGCAGTACTGAGGGGGGAATTTATATCTAAATGCCTACATCAATAAAATAAGGAGCAGATAAATGAATTGGGCATGCAACTAAAAAAGCTAGAGAAAGAACAAGTTAAA